ATATTTATGTGTTTCAGGTCATGTTGGAGTTTTGGCTCTGGCACCTAAAATAGGCCCATAATTCACGTGTTGAGTAATATTGTTCTCAAATAGCTGTTTTGATCTATGCTGGCTGACTCTGAAAGAAACACATTACAGGGGAAGAACAAACATTAGGAACTATTGTCATCCAGGACAGCATACAATTAGGCAATGATATACCAAACGAGTGGAACTGAATGGTGCTGCACCAAAGTGAAAGAGGTGTAGGAGCTTTGGCAGTCAGCTGATTATGTCCGATTTATCAGCAGGTAATTACTGGATAATAGAAGCATTCCAGTCACTTGCACCAGAATGGGAGGTCTTTGAAAGGAGGCTTTATGAGGTGCTTAACCCAGGGTGCTGTTTTTGTCTTCCTAAACAAACAGACATGCCTCTACTACTTAAAGAATTAAGCTCACCAATACCTCTGGCTTGGGTTCTGTTCTGAGAAAAAGTTTTGTGGGATAATTTGTGAACATAAATTATCCACAAGTTTTTTGGCAGCAGGTCTTCATGCTGGGACAAATTGCTGCTTTCTTCAACTACTAAAGATCTGCTGGTGAGTGTCTGGAAACAAATTAAGCCAACAGAGCTAAGAGCCCCCGTCTACACCCCATCTCCAATTGGCAGTCCATCTTCTGGAACGCGGGGCTCAGAGCTGGCTCCATGTGAGGTCACTTTGGACTCTCTGCCCCAGCCTTTACCCGCTGCTCTCCTCCATCTCCACCTCTCTACCCTTCCACCCCCTTATCGGGGTGCGGGAGCCCCGGAGAGGGGTCACGGGGTCAAAGTCTTTTCCTCTTTGGATCTCGGGGCTTGCTGGGAGAGGCTTGGCGAGAGAATGGCTGCATTAGAGCAGGGGTTGGGGGTCAAGATTTTAATTCTGTTAAAGAACAGCTGGTTTGAGTTTCTCCTCACGTCTCTCTCCCCTCCCTCTTCCCACAAATCCAGGGAGATGAAAAATTTGTTCAGAGGGGAACCAGTAAAATAAAAAAGGTTTACAGTCCAAAGCCCTTACCCTTACCCTGCTATAGCATTAGAGAGGAATGCAATAACGTCAGCATTTGGCCTCAGTTAGATTGACTTAAAACAAGGAAGTCCTTTCTGTGTTTTGGTGTCTTAACAGCCGGATGAAACTTAATTAAAAAGCTTAAAAAATCGGGAGGGATTTTTCGTACTTGAAACCAGAGGAATTCTCTTCCTCGAGTTTCAATTTCCATGAGAAATTATTATTTCTCACGTAACTTTAAACAGGTGACACTAACCTTTTTGGCAGTTATGCAACCAATTTAAAACCTGTAGCTTTCCAGAGAAATTCTTTAAACGACTTCATAGATATATCAAATGCGCTCGCTGTTTTTCATTCTAGATTAGGGCTGACTGAAACAAATTGAGAGTTTGACGTCACATTCATTTCAAAATCTTTTGCTCTTATCGAGGCGATAGCTCAACCTTGTTGTTGGCTAAATTGCTAGCCACCCCGTGTTTTAGCAAAAGGAATCTTCTCTCTCTGCTATGCCCCATGTGAAATGTGTTGATCTGAATGCCAAGGCAGGACTCCCTCACATTTCAAGCTGGCTGTGGAGGCAGAGTGAGGGGGGAAGGGGAGGCACTAGAGCTCTCCTATAAATGGAAAACTAATAACAGATTTTCAGTCTGCTTTCTCCTGCGCTCTTTTGCCGGCTGCCTGGCTGACTGGCCCCGGGGCTGTGTTGGTGTGTGGCGCAGCAGCAATCAGAGGTCATAATTTCATTGGCGGTTAGCATCAGGTTCAATTTTTCTAGTAGGTTACATTTACCAGAAAGTCTGGATTGTGTTACTGTGTACCGGTGGAATCAGTAGAGAGCTGTAGAATCCCTCTACCTTTCCAAGAAGAGCCAGGCACCCCCAAAGGGGAAGAGGAGTGTGCACATATGTTTAGAGATGCATACACAGACACATACACATGCACAGACCATTAGTGCCAAGGCTCTTTATACATTCAGCCACACATACACACATCCTTCTACTGTATGTATATATATCAGTACTCGCAGACATAGCTGTTCAAATGCCAACCTGGAGTGTTTAGAGTTGCTGGATTGGGACTTAATTAGTTATGTCTGTGGATGTGCATATCTTTAGACCCCTCTAGTGGTAGCAAGCCATTCTGACTGATGATGAGGTTAGTTTTTGTTTGGACAGAGCTGGTAAAGGCACAAGGGAAGAAAAATGTGGAGAACTGATTCAAAAGGATATAAAGAGAAAGTCAAGGCGAAGGGGATTAAGACTGAGGTGTCCAGCCAAAGCACAAATTCCTGAATAAATATGTTGTTTCTAGTGAAAAAATGGACCTGGAACATGTGTGGAGTGTCCTCTCCCAAGAAAGAAACCTCTCTAAATTCAAAAAGTACAGTTCTTTAAGAGTGTCATTAATCAAATAATATGTTTTGTGTATTCCAGGAATGTGACCAGGTTCATATTGACGACGTATCCTCCGATGACAACGGGCAGGATCTGAGGTACAACCCTGGTACACTTTCATTCTTGATTGAATAGTCAAAATAAACTGTGTTATTTGCTAGCATCAATGTTTGGTGCAGCCTGTGCTGACAGATACCTTCTTTGTCTTTATCTCAGTACGTATAACTTCGGCGCTGACGGTTTCCATGCAGCGGCGACCAGTGCCAACCTATGTCTGGCCACAGGCGTGCGGGGAGGCGTGGATTGGATGAGAAAACTGGCCTTCCGCTACAGACGAGTAAAAGAAATCTACACCACCTACAAAAATAACGTCGGAGGTAATCCCCAACAAGCAGCGCTGCTCTGTACAGATCCATTGAGTAGAAATGAGTTTGCAGATGTACATGCCCCCATTATGTGGGCGTTTGCGTGAGTGTCTGCGCGTGTTCACGTGTGTGTTGTAAAAGCACACATGCCACACCACTTGGTCAGGGTAAATTTTGAAAATTTCAGTGGTATTCGGAGGGCTTGTCCAACCCAAACAATGTTACCCTGCGTTTCAGGTCTGCTGGGCCCAGCCAAAAGGGAAGCCTGGTTGCAATTGCGAGCAGAAATTGAAGCCTTGACGGACTCCTGGTTAACACTGGCACTGAAAGCACTAACATTAATCCACTCAAGGTAGGACTCCAGTGAGGAAAATTGTACCCAGTCCCATACCGCACATATATAAACTCGCATGTGGTGTAAATAAGTCAACTCCATACTCCCAAGCTATTAAAGAAAACACCAACGCACCAATTTGTCTTTTAGACAGGCTTTTTCTTCTGATTTTGAAAGATAAGTGTGCTAAGAGATCTGACTTTAAAAAGGAACTGAGATTCAATCCCTCATTGCAGGACATGTTTTAAACAACTGATACATTGCAGTGTCTTTATTTTCTGCACACTGTGTTTTCTTTTGTCCTCCCTAAGAGTGATTTAGAATGATGTCATCCCTTTGCTTTCCTCCTCTGTCTCTCTGCTGCAGGTCAAACTGTGTGAATATCCTGGTGACCACCACGCAGCTCATCCCTGCCCTGGCTAAGGTGCTGCTCTACGGCTTGGGAATAGTCTTTCCTATCGAGAATATTTATAGTGCAACCAAAATAGGTAAATAGTGCGTCTGAAATGTGTGATTTGAATCCTCTTGTGTTTTCCTGCGTTATCATTCTATCACTTTGGGACATAAATGCTTGTTATTTTAGCTTGGTGAGTGTAAAAAGTCAAGACACACATGCTACCTAAGTGACGGGACAGAGGCGTGGATGGGGTGGGAGATTCAGTCATCGGAGAGGGTTGATGTTCTTCTATGAAGGAATAGGCCTAATCAGCCTGGGATTATTTTCCTGGAGCTGGGCCTGCGCTGGGCCTCCCCAGGCCTCTCCTGTTCAGTCTCTGCATATGAAACCACTTCTGCACATTTATGTCATTCCACAGCAACAGCACCCCTCCTCCTCCTCCCATCTCCCCCCACCTTTTCCTCCAGTCCTTCCTCTTCTTCAATGTTTGAAATGCTAAATAAACATCAAGCTTCACTCCCGTGCCATTTTCAGACCCGTCTGCGCAAAGTTGGAGCCGAGAGTTGCTCAGGGTTCCTGGACCGTTAAGCGCACCGGTCCTCCTAACCAGACCCTGTAGCATGCAAGAGTGATTTAGCTGATTTAAGTCCATTTGTCCCATGTTTAAGGAGGAGAAGGGCAGAATTAATGCTTTTCAGATCGAGCTCAAAGTGCTTGCACTCTGCCCTATTTTGTACGTGTGGTGTTTTTAAAGGGGCTCTTGTCACCCTATTCCTTGGAATCAATGTGATGGTGTCTAGTGTGGGTTTGAGAGTGTGTATGTGCCTGTGTATCTTTTTGCATGCATGCAACGGTCCACTAACATCCTGCTGTCAACTCCTCCACAGGGAAAGAGAGCTGCTTCGAGAGAGTAATTCAAAGGTTCGGGAGGAAAGTTGTTTACATTGTTGTTGGAGATGGTGTGGAAGAGGAGCAAGGCTCAAAAAAGGTAAGAAGTCTCTGAACAATAGATACCACATACTGCAAACACGTTGAGTCATCTGGTGAAAACATTTATCAGAAATATACGGAGCTATGCGGAAAGGTTCTGTTTGGATTACTTTCTGTGAGGTCAGGAGTTCATTATGAATGCTTACAGAGCACAAAACATACCTGCCATACCTTTCCAAAGAAAGAAATCAGCACTCCAGCTCTCAACAGTCTTACTTTACTTTCATTCGCTTATCCTCTTAAACGGCATCCGAGTACAAGAGAGAAAGTCTGTAGTGTGTAATCAGCGCTCTTCCTCCGCCATCTCAGGTTTACAAAGCAGAGGAGGGGAGAGATGGCATAATTATATATTCCTGCTCGGTGCTCTGAGCAGCGTGAATGCTGTATGTGTAATGCTAGGCAAGCCCTTTCAGGCATGTTGAAGGCACATCGTAAATAGAGCATGCATAAAGGAAACTTAAATCATTGTTGGTGAAATTAAAACATCTACTGCAATGACAAGCCTGTTAGCACGGCACAGATCAAGAAAGGCTCAAAGCCGACATCTCCCGTGCTCTCTCAGGAAACATGACGGTATGTGTTCTGACGAATCTGACATTGCCCTTTTTATGTTACCTGTTGGCTCTTGCTGCACAATTTGTTTATTCAGCGTTTCTGCCAAGTTTGGATGTAAACCAAATGCCGCATGCAAGCCACACACGGCAAACATATTCATTAGCAAATTAATCAGCGGCCCAGGAGCATATTTCACTGACAGTTTCGGTGAGCCGCGGTGTCAGGGTGAAGACGCGGAGTTTCCCTTTGAAAAGCCTCCAGCTCCCTTTTCACCTGTTTCTCAGTAAACAATGAGTAGAAGTGTGAGGACAGATGAAGAGTGATTAGGCAGCGATTAGAACGAAGTAGCAACCTTTACCCTGGATAAGAGTGTAAAGCAATAGCTCTGTATTTTGAAAAGTGAACACACCCTGGGAATATGGTCTCGAGGGATGATTGTGGAAAAAGATGCAAATATTTTTACTCAGTCTTGAGTTGTTGGAGTGTGACATTGATGGAAGGATAAGGCGTTTTTTCCCCTGTCTGAGTGGTGCGAGTCCCACGACACGCCATGCGGTAAAAGGTTTCTGTGTCAACATCAGAGAGGACGTGGAATAACACAACAATTTCACCCGTCAGGAGGCACATATCAGACGTGACACTGTGTGGAACTACAAAAGCAAATGTCTTTAAGTTCTCTCGGCCCCCATTCCTTCATCTAAAAGAAAATCCACAATCCCTGAAACAATTCTGCCTTCAGTTATTACCATTGCCTGGGAAGGACGGCAGAGATAACATCTCCAGCTTTTAAACTTTAAAGCAAAGACAATTTACAAAACAAAAAGCAAGGAGCTTTTTAAGGGTCAGTGCAGGCTCTCCTAAGCGGAACATATGCCTGGGAGAGGCCATACCTTTGATAAGGGGAGGGTAATGGGCTCCACACATTGAGGAGCTGAGGACTCTACCTGACAAGCTCCTTTCATTCTCTGCGACTCAGGTTTCTCCCTCCGTCCTCTGCTTGGGAACAACAGCTCATTTGCACTGTTCTAAACGCACACTGGCAGGCAGGAGGTTCATTCAAAAGACACTGTGGGGAGTTGGTTTCTGTTGAGGTTGAAGACAGCTACTGGATTAGTTTGGTGGTATAAAACTACACGTTGATGCAGAAGAGAAATTAGTTAGAGGAACAAATGTAGTATTTGGCTGCACAGACGTATGCACAGGGGAGCAAGAGGAGCAGCCGGCGTGTGTTATTGATATGATTGTTTTTCCTGGTGAATGGACCAGACTCACTCCATCCATTGAATGTATTAGCTTGCAGTGTAAAGAATAAAATCACGTATTACGCGTGCTAAGATTAGCTGCAAGCAATTAAATTATTTTTTAATATTGATTAATTTGTACATTTTTTGATGGTCATTAAGCCATTAAAACCACAGAAAATAGCAGAAATGCCTATTAGTTTCCCATGGTCAGGTTTATATTGCTTGTGTCTGACCAACAGTTCACAATTCAAAGATATTCAATTTACAATCATGAAAAAACGATTACAGCAAAAAAACTTTTTTTAATAAATGACTGAAAGGATTATTGACTAATTGTTTCTGCCCTAAAAATGTACAGAATTTATCATTCTTACAATGTTTTTAAACTAAGCTTTACATGTTTTTATTCCTCCCACAGCACAACATGCCCTTCTGGAGGATCTCCAGCCATTCAGACCTCATGGCCCTCCACCACGCTCTAGACCTGGAGTACTTGTAGCACTACACCACGATCGTACGCCCAGCTCTGCCTCGGCACACCCTGCAACCTTTCACCTTCACCCTCCAGCCCCGTCCCACGCTTGCCGCGGACCCTGCAGCTCAGAAAAGGCCCCCCTGCGCTGCCTGGCGTCTGTCTTCCACTACACAGGAAGAAAGGAAGAGGAGAATGGAAAAAAAAAGGCTGAGCACACGGTTAATGTGCTGACATACGGTCACACTTCGTCTTAACCCTAAACTCTTTTTTTGTGTTTTTTATTTTTTTGGAAGCGAAGGAGAGAGGTGAATTTATGGCGCTGCAGCTGCTTGCCCTGGTTACTGTGAATTGGCCGCTTTCTGAAGCTGTCAAAGTGTTTTACGGCCCCCTGTTTGTGCCGGGACTCTGTCAGGGTTCACACCTGTGAGGGGAGCAGAGCTACTGATGGCCTCGCCTGCCTCGCCTCACCTCGCCACAGAACTCGGCTACAATTAACCTAAAGGCCCACGACTACTGGTGGTGACATTTCTCCGTCCCTCTAGCTCTTCCCTTTGCTCTTCACCTCCCGTCTCTGTCTGTTCTTTATCCGTCTACCTACTTTTTAGTCTCTCCCCCATCATGGGACGGACAGACAAAGTGACTGCTCCTCTGTTAACTGTCGGCCTGGGAGTCCTGTGCTTCTTATTTATGAACGGAGACTTTGTGAGTGGCACCGTGCCACTGAGAAGGTACCTCAATGACAAAAGACTCGTGCCTTTTACAAAGTACTATTGATTTCCACCACAGCGAGAGGAAGACGTTTATGGAAGAAACAAGAAAATGGGGTTTTCTAATAATTTAAGAAAATAAACAAAAAACTTTATTTACAATGCTGAGACAATCGTGTATAGAGGAAATCTTTTTTTGTGTGTGTAAGTTTGTAATCACTGGACTATTCCTTCCTATATTCATTTAGGTACGTGCTCTTGAAAGGTGGCAATGCTTTTTCATTGAAGTAAAAAAAATAATAATAATAAAAGGCATCCCATCGCACATAAGCTTGTGCGACCGCTCAAAGTGTTGATGTGTTCAAGTTTTGTTCAGTAAACAAATATGTAGATAATGGGATTTTGTGATAAATTGTTTTGTCAAGACCAAAAGCATGGATGTCAAGTGTCAATGACCTTTCATTCGATTCTGTGATGTTTCTCGTCCTTACAGGAAACTTCAGTCACATCTTTATACAGCATAACAGGTCTCCTCTACTGCAAGTCCTTTTTAGATTCATATTTTAAAGGGAAAGAGGCATTTGTTGTTTTTGTTTTTTTAGTTATACAAAAAAGGTAGCTCACAACTTGTGTCCTTACGGCATTTCACCAGCTTGCAGCCCTGACCCCGTATATTTGGAAGCAAACTTAATCCTGATGAGGGTTTTCGGATATGGCATGGAAGTGAGCGAACTCCTGAGAGCCATTTTATGAAACAAATTTAAATAAATCTGAGATTTAAAAAAAAAAAGCAGGCTTGAATAGGTTTTATTATCTTTTATACAAGCGCTATAACAACTCTTGTACAGCAAGCGTAATTTTGTATGATGTAGTGTTTTTATTTCAACTTTGAAAATACATTCTGTGTCCCTCTTTGAAAATTGTTGAAACACGTGAAGCCCTTTTCATAATGCTTCTACATCTGTGGATGGGGCAACCATAATTAACGTTTAAAGAAAAGCCACTAACTTCGAGGGGTTTGTGAACATACAGGACATGTGCTATCGACTGTGAATTTCTTAAACAGAGACCGATTCGTTGCGTCTCTGATTTTTCCCTCCTTTGCACATGATCACTGTTGGCCTTTACATTTCAATTTGGATACCCCGCCCCGCCCCGACCGCCACCTCCCTCCAACCCCCATCTTCTCAAAACAACTTCTTCCCCCACGCTCCTGGGGTATCTACATATTGCTGCTAGATCAAGGTAATGGTAGGTAAATAGAGGAAATGTTTTATAGATTCATACAGCACGCTTTTTTTTTATTATGTTGCAATCATAAATGCAAACTGGAAATACTTTACACTACATGGGCCTCATTGTGAAACGCAAAAGATTGTTGTGTCTGCAAAATATGTGTACAGATGTTTTTGACATTATTATTTGATTGTGTTTAAATTAATAAAACTGATTTGTGAACTGTTACACGTTGCACGTTGATTTTGTTTAATCAGCTACAGTAGGTGCAAAATACAATTTAACTGACATTTAAATCCTTTTTCTCTGCGGACAAAAATTTTAAGGCCCGATTGAACTTTTTTTTAAGGCCATATTTTTTTTAAATACTTTCCACTGTGTGTTAATATTTCTGGAATAACATTACTATGTGCCCCCAGTGTCCAGAGACTGACACTGTTGTCACAGGCATCAGCCACTAATCCTACCAGGAAGCAAATAGAAACTAGAGCTGGTGCAAGTTTAGACCAAACATTACATACCCACATGCTAATCACATTCTTTAAATCTGTACAATAGCTGCTATGAAATTCTTTTTACGTGTGACTTTTAAAAATAATGCCTATATATTGTGTGGTTGCACTTCTATTAATTAGATATTTTTCATCTTATCTGAGACAATGTATAACGAGCATCCTACATTCTTGAGGCTCCTGAAGCCAAGCCAATGCTCAGCCCAATATTTGTAATACTTGTATATGTCTCCACAAGCCTCCATGCATAATTAACATATATCAAACTACTCCAAGTCATAGAACGCTGGGTTAGTTTAAATAACACATGAAAAATATTTATGAGCCTGATTTTACGAGGTGGTCACAGCTAAGACGGTCCAGCGTGTAACACTAGCCCGGACAGGGAAGAAAGTGTCCAGCCTCCAAAACCACGTTGGAGAATTAAGCATGCATGGAATTTTATTTAGAGCCGCACGGCCCTTTTAATATCCAGATCAATTATGTTTTCAGATGGAGTGGGAGTGATGGCCGGGGTGAGGCATGTACGTCTGCCAGGCTGGACAAAGCAACTCGGGCTGCTACCACCGGAATGCACCAGCACAATGACCCCTAATGTGCTTTTCCCACTTCCGAACAGCTGAAAGACTAAGTAGTGTCTGAGGTCCTGACTGACTGTCTATATACGAGAGGAGTGCTGCTCTCTCTCTGTCTCTCTCTCTCTCTCTCTCTGCAGCACAGAATAGACGTCTGTTCTCTTTGATAAGTTTTCCCGATGCTCAGGGACCTGGCAGAAAAACTCAGACACAACCAGACCAGACATTTTGTGAAAGAAAAAGTGGGTGTTGTGGCATGTCGGCCAGCCGCTCTGGCTGCTCGAAAACGGAGGGGAATAAAAAATAAGAGCTAGATTGTGTCTGTTTGGCTTGTGTCTTCTACCTGACTTACAATCCTCCACCAGAACTTTGATTTTCTGTGAGATTTATCATCCTTTGATGTGTTTGTAGATCCGGCGGCAGCTCTGTGAACATGTCATGTGCTTGCTTATGTTAGATATAGGTGTTCCTGTGCTTTAATCAGCCTTTAAAGTAACCATGTAATTCTCGAGAGGCCTGATCTTCACTGAACTCCCATCAACCCCCTTGTGGAAATAAAGGGGCCATTACCTAGCAGGTCCTCTGTTGGGCATTCCTCTCCAGGACGTCCCAGCAAAGCGCCCCCGCCCTCCATAAAACTGTACTGCAATAATAAACAACGCCATTGGTGATTTACGACCTTGCCCAGACAGTGATTTCATGCAGATTTCCATAGAGGGGGCCTCTGACGGTGCATCACAATTGAACTAATATTGTATTACATACATATCAAACTCTCCCCAAAAAACCTGATCTGCCACATCTCTTTTATGAGCAGGAAGCCTATTAATAGGCCCGTGTTCTCCTCTTGGTGGCTAGTGTGTCTCAAGTTAGGGGAATTTGTCTCTGTAGTGAGCAGATGTCCACAGATTGAGACAATAAGAG